TCTTTTTTCACACTCAGCTGCACGCATTCAGAAGGGTGCTCTAAAGCTCTGTTGTGAGCATCTGGGGAAGAGGGCATAGGGAAATTAGCTCTCACAAAGTCCCTTCCACCAGCATGACACTGCATGTCATCCCCGATCTTTAAAGTTTGCTAGGCTGTTTAATTAATTCTTGGTCATTTGGAAAAATAGCTGCTTTATAAAGCTAAGCAGTGTCTTGTTGATTAATAAAGTCTGGGCAACAAATGTGCACACCACCAGTACACACGACATTCTGAAGGTCTGCCTTAGTTTTTAAATGAACTCTTTTCAAATGGAATATAGAAAGCGCATTATTCAAAAATAGTAGGGTGTTTCTTTTTTTATTTCAAAGGTTTCAGGAACAAGCAAAGTTAAAGCAAATTCTCTTGGTTATTTTGTACGAAGTCTTGAAGTGACTCAAACCTTTCCTGTACCTTTGACCACTTAAGTTAAAATATCAGTCACCCATTCCTGTTTTAAAAGATGTCATGCTAAGCGCTACCCCTTCCCTGCCCACACAGGTATGTCACTGTGCGGACAGAACGGAGCTGGATGTACATGCACTCAGAGAGTGCTGCGGCATGGGCAACCCTCTGCCATTCTGCAGTTAGATTACACAACTGGGTAGTTCTAAGATTTGCCAGCCTGGAGGTCCCCTGAAATCCAATGAATTCTGGTGAGATCTCAGTTCTCCTCTGCCCTTTCCTCTCTGCAGAAGGCCTTTTTTTTTTTTTTTTTTTGGAAAACAGTCAAACCACAATCCAATTACACTTTAGCTGAAACATCCCATCAAATCCCTTTTCAGTGGCTGGGATGTGGGCAGCTCTTCCAAGGTCTTGGGCCTCCCCAAAAGGACTATGGATTCTTGTTTCCATTGGAACAACCCTCTTCTCCATGAGTATCACAAGCTGCTTTTGAATACACCATCTCTGTTCAAATAAGCGCTCCTAACAAAGTCTGGTTTAGGTCTTCTCTTTTTTTTTTGGTCAAGTTACAATATATGGGCAATATATGACATCATGTAAGCAGGCATCCGCTTCCTTTCCTCCCCTCAGACCATGCAAGTACTAGTTGAATGTTGTGCAAGAAGAGATAAAAATTCAAGGATGCAAAAGCTATGAAGAGGAAATAAATGTTGAGACATCTTGGGCTGCATCGTATTACCCTTCTGCATGTGGAAGGCATGTTCTGTTCCTAGAAGTTCTGTTTCGTCACTTGTGTTCTGTGACAAAAGTGAAGCTAAATCCAGAGTTGTTCCATTTTCTCAAACAGAAGCATGAGAATTGTTCTAAAACCTTTGTGTTGTATGAGTGCATGAATGCAGAATCATACTGATGCCCAGTTTCCTTGTACTAACAAATATTTGGGTCTGGTTGTTTATTAGTAAATATCTCATTGTTTATTAATAACAATCTCAGTGTTGCACTGCTGTATTTCCTTTTCATCATCAATAATCAGAGGGCTTCCTCCTCACTTTATCTTTGCAAGATACTGTGGGAAAGGTGAGCCAAGAGACATTGACCTGGTTTGCATGAACAGGATTGCCCAAAATCATTAAGTCACAATGTACTTTGATACACTGTAGTGGGCTTCAGTTAGTATTTGAATATTTACCACCTGGCCAGACTGGGGCAGTGGGGACTGTGCAAGAATTAAATAAATCTTGCATGACCTAAGAACAACTCTCAGCACCTGGGTTTGCATATGACAAGCCAGCCAGCAAGTGAACACTCAAAATGGCTGCCCGCATACTCCAGAGCTGGAACTGGTTAGCAGATCTCATTATCTCTTCCCCTGTAGGGAGAAAAGCAATTTGGGGGAGGGCAATTTGAATCAGAAAGGTGACCTGTAGGTAAAAGGTTATGCCCCCTCTCTTGCATGTCACATCCCAAAGCTGTATTTCAGTATGGTAATCATTATTAGGATGCTGCACATGTGCCTCATCTAGTCTGGCACAATTCATATCGCAAATAAGGATCCCAACACTGAGTGCCTATGACACACATGAATCTACAGTCCACAATCCCAGCAGTGACAAATGCTCCATCAGGGAAGCACTTTCATTTATTTTTGCAGGGAAAATACATTCTGCTTTAAATGTGCAGCGATATGTGACAACAGAAGCAAAATTAAGAGGAAACATGTGATAACTAAAAGCCAAAAGATACATTTACTGCTCAAGAAACTGACAGCACCAAGATGTCCTCAATAAATTGAAAGCAGTTCAAGTCAGTTTGTGCTAGGAATGGGCAACACTGAAGAACCCGACCCAGTTGTGCTTGGATTTCAGTGCACCTTGACAACTCAAAAGCCAAAAGTAGGCCAAGTTGCTGTTGTTGGGGTTTCTTTTTTGAAGCTCTTGCTTTTGAAGCAGACCATAATTTGCATATTTTTCAAAAAGGCAGAGAACTTTGCACAAAATATGGCAAAATTTGCATAAAATCATGGCACACTTAAAGGCAGAAGACCACACGTCAGTTCAACTTGCATCTAAGTGAGTGGGCACTAGACAGATGTGCCCAAATCCAGGGATGGGGACAAGCCAGCCAGACTGTTGGATTGTGACTCCACAGGTGGTCCTCTCACTCATCCCTAGCTGACACAAACTAGGGAAAAATGAGGGCTTAACTTTGTCAGCACTAACAGTCTTGAAAGGTGGGGTACCTTTCCAGGTGTCGTGACCTGACAAAGGGAAGGAAGTGATACCCTTCCCCTTCAACAACTGGATGCATTTTGATATGAATTAAACTGGGGTGCAAACAAGTGGGGAAGATCAGCTCTGCAATGGACAGCAAATGTTCATGAGTAGTAAATGGCATAATATGAATGCTTATTCCCCACCTTGCTAAGCCCTAATTTAGGAGACGGGGACAGAGACAACCGATATTTGAATACTTGCATCCTGATTTAATTGAACCTCATCTAGCAATTATCCCTTAAACAAGGCACTATGATTTAATGTCCATTTCCTAAGCAGGATGTTAAGCCACACTTTCAAATTGTTTTAAGATCCTGATTAGTAAACTGGTGTTATTAAACCATAATTATTTGGACATAACAGCTAGCTGAGGTTTAATTACACCAAAATTTCAAGAACAGAAGCGGCAAGGGGATGGGGGATGAGAGAGTGTGCAGCCCTGTTGCTCATTCCCGCCTGTTAAGCTATGGTTTATCAAATTGAGAAATGAAACTCTGAACTAGGCCAATGAGGGGGTTACTGGTTTTCTAGCCAAGTATCTGGTCCATGTGAAAAGGATGTATATATTGTGCTTGTCATGCAGTAAAACACACCACATGTTGCTCATCTGCTCACAGATGTATTTTCTTGTTATTGTTGACGCTTGTTATTGTTACAAAATGAGAATTACTTGGAAAGATGAAGGATGACACTATACAATGGCCTGATTTAAACATGGCGCCCAGTGGGCAAGAACCTATTCATGTAGCTCGTCCTGTCTAAATGGGTCCTCCCCCACAGAGCGTGCTGTGAGGAGGAGTCCTCCAATACAACTGCCACAGCCACCATCATGGCTGTGGCAGTTCCTTTTTACAACTGCAGGCATCAACTGCAGGCATCATGGCTGTTCCCATTCCTTTTTACAACTGCAGGCATCAACTGCAGGCATCATGGCTGTTCCCATTCCTTTTTACAACTGCAGGCATTTCCCCTATGAGGCCCTGAGAATATAAGGCAAGCTACGAGACTCGCTGTGATTGTGCCTTAAGTCCTCCAGTTGACCAAGTGAACAGGAAAAGGCAGCACCGATTTTAAACTTTTACCACCAGCTTTCATGCATGACTTTTCCCGCTGCAGTTCCTCCATCTCAGTCAGATTCTTCTCCCTTCCCCAAGCCCAAGCCGGGCCTGCCCTCTCAGTTGCCTGGGTTGCCGGTATCTTTCTTGCACCTAGCCCTGAGAAGAGAGAAGCTCATGCCCACCTTTAGCCAGTCTATCCTGTCCTGACACTGATGCTTGTCCTCCCTTGCCATTACTTTTAGACATTTTGTGAAGAAAAGCGTTGTTGCAAGCAAAACAATACCTGGAGCGGACTTCCACAGAAGAAAAGCTGTGTTTACTGGCTTTTGTGAAAAGCTGTGGGGCAGCTGAACACTGTTTGTGTGAAAAGCTACTGGGCAGGAGTTGGAGAGAGAGAAAGCAAGAGCCTGTCCCCCACTCCCTACGGCCATGCACAGGCAGGGCCAAAGGTAGGCAGGGCTGGAGAGCAGCTTGAGGGGCCGCACTCCAGTGACAAGAGGCCCTCAACCTGCTCCTTCTCTTGCGCATCTGCCTCTTATTCTGGCCCAGGCGAAGAGAAGCAGGAGGAGGAGAATCAGGAGGTGGCCCTGCCGACTTGCTCACCAATTCTCTGCCTGTCCAGTGAGTGACAGCAGGGAGAAAGAGGAGCAATAGCAGCTGGTGGCAATGATGGTGACAAGGCAGACTTGCTAAGGAAGAGGGATTACTAAAGATGTCTTGCCCACGAGATCTCAAAAGCCTGGAGCCAGCACTGTGTACAGCGTACGTACAAGTAAAGTGCTGTGTGCATAATTTCTCAAAAGAGCAATGTGGGGACTCAGGCCTGTGAGAAAGTTATGTTACTTGGTCTGCAATTTGGAGTGCAAGGGGGGATATGTTGCACCTACAAAACCAGGTTGCACTTGTAAGGCAGAAAGTTCCTGCTCATATGAATTCTGGCTAGGCGAAATAACTATTTTCTTCTGAACCCAGTGCAATATTTGGAGCTCTTATGGTAAGCATACCAGTGTAGCACCTGCCTGGGCAGTGGATTTCCGGCATGTAAAATTGTGCACATGCTGGCAAAGCAATCTGGTTTGAAGGGGCAATGCAGTGCTGGTACGCTATTCTTGACAGTGGCTCATTTGAAGTCAGGCCAATGTGCAATAAAACAACCTGGCTTGACTTCCCTGCACAATTACTTTCTAATGTACTAGTTTTCCAGTCCTGTCTGATATACTTTTCACCTTACACTTCCTTGTCTCCAGAAACCATTAAGTTGAGGAATCCTTCCCATTTGTGTTCCACCCTACAGAGTCCAGCCAGAAGTCATTTCCACAATACATGATGCTTATTCCACAGTCTCTAGATTTAAAACAAAAACAAAATATTTTACCATTGTTTCTTAAAGGCAATTCTACACTTTCTTTAACAACAAGTTTTTAGCAGCTCTCATAATTCTTGCAAAGCAAATTGTCCTTACAAGTCCACTTAGAGGAAGAGGAAGGAGAAAAAAAGGATCTTAAGGAGGAGCTTGCGTTCAACATATGGCTTGGAAGCAGCAACTGGCCCTGGCTATTTCCTGACTTACATCCTGTGTAGCACAAATTACAACACTTAAATACAAATGACAGGAAAAACAATTATTTCAGAAAACCCACAGCTGAAATTCTAAGCAGAATATTAAGCACTTCCATGTATCTAACTCAAAAACAAGCACACAGAGCTTACCAGACCGCAATCAAAATACAAGGCAGGCCTACACAATGTCAACCCATAGTGTCCCGTGTGGGGCACAGCTGGTAGGGGGCTGGAGGGACTCGGCGGAGAAAGGGAACCGACAGAGAGCCAGCCCCTTCCATATTGCTTGCCTGGAACTGCAAAGGGGGAAGGCCTTGACCTGGGTGAGCAGCACTCGGCAGCCTAGTACACACAGCTGGTATGTTTGGTCATTGGGTAGTGGCAGGATATGCGTAAGAAGCTATCCATGTGGCCCAGATCGATCACAAATGATTACACTCTTTAAAAACTTTAAAGCTAGGACTCAAGCCTCCCAAAACATCCTTCCCCAGAACCTTCATCGTGTGAGATGGGGAATATTTTCCCTTGGGGTCCCACTCCTTCTGGACCACAGTGCTCTCCAAAAAAGGTCAATCGCAGGATAATCATATATAGGTCGGCTCAGAAATACACACTGCTAAGTTCAGTGGGCTTCCTCTCAGGTAAGTGGGCTTAGGATTGCAGCCAAAAAGTGTCTCCTCACCATATAAATGGGTGCCAGACTCTGAATGTGCTAAAAAAATCTTTCCTGCCATGTGGCAATCTTAATCAACTGGTTCTTACAACTGAGACTGGGTGATTCAAGTAAAACACTTCAATTACTTTTTGCTCCTGACCAAAAGCTGCCAGAAACTAGATTGTCGTTTTAGGGATTATCCTGATGGCAGAATATCACCACGTATTTCTTTCACTGCCCCCTCCCCAGCATCTCTGCTTCGAAGGGTGTAAACCTGGGGGCCAGCTCCATGCCATAGACTGGTGGAAGGGGAATGCCTTGGGGGATGTGGGAGTGTGACAGATTTATGGGGCAAAGAGAATGCCTAGTTATGCTATCCTATGACTGCCAGCTGGCTAAAGGACACAGAGAGGGTGGGGGAGCTGCAGTAGGAAGATTAACTCTGTGTGAACAAGTGGCGGCGCAACAATCCATTCACACATCGTCGGGAACTGAAACAGGCAGTAAGTCAACATTCCTGTGGTGTAGTGGTTAAGAGTATGGAACTGGAATCCAGGAGATCTGGGTCCTAGTTCCTACTCAGCCACAGAGCAAAATGGCTGACCTTGGGCCAGTCATTGACTCTCAGCCCAACCTACCTCACAGGGTTGTTGAGAGGGTAAGAATGAGAGCAGCAGGAGAATTATAGGAAGGAACTACAATCAATCAATCAATCAATCAATCAATCAGAGGAAGAAAGAAAAAGTTTGCCTATTTCAATACTCACTGTAAGTTTATTAACTGTTTATTACCTAACAAACTATGTTGATGGCATTAATGAAAGAGCAGCTACAAGACATCCCCTATAAGTTTCCTCATGCCCTGGAGCTGCTAGTACAAAGCAGTGTATAAATTCATCAGGGCTCCTTGATGCCCCAGAGTGTATACATCCTTCCAGTGGAAGGCATAACATAAGATCATCCACTAAAAGTTTGATGTGTTGCAGCTGTTTTAGGGTTTCTGCAGTAGGTGTCTTGTGCAATGTTTCATTCACAAGCAGTTGTCCATCCCTGACCCCCTCACAACCACTTTTCTGTTGTGCTTTCATATGTGCCTTCCAAACAGCTGCCACCTCCCCTCCCCACCTCCGTTTGTAGTACTCCAGTCTTAACCACTACATCATCACAGAGTTGTCCAGACAGATTGTTCCATAGTGCTATTTTCTCCACAGGTCAGCTCCCCCCACAAATACCTTTAACTACTTTTCTTCCTTATACTGGTTATATCTTAGACACTTTTCTTTTTTCCTCCCTCTGCCACTTGTTAGGCCAAACTCTTTGCTGAGACAGTAAATGAGAATGCATTTTGAAATGTGAATTCTGAGACAATTAACAGGCCACTCCTTAGTAATATGCAGATTCTCCCACCCTTTAAAATTTGCTCAGTTATATACTTTTTTGCTGACTATCCCTGGGTGCATGATTACTAATCCAGAGATGACTGAGAAGTAAGTCTTTATTTTGGTTGAGACTGTTGCCCTCAGAGGGTAAGTGAAGAGGGAGCCACCTCCAGAGTTTTATGCAGCAAACCCAGTCACTGTGTGGACATTTGTGATGCCTGCAAGGAATATGCAAACAAACATGTGTCTCGAAATAATGGTTGAATTGGGGTTCTTTGGTGACATATATTAACAAGGCTGAGATACAGCATGATTTTGGATCTGAAACAGATTATCTATACTGGGAGAAAGACTTGGGGGAATGCAAGTTTTGGACCTCTCAGAGACTGTCAGTAGTATTTTGGATAGGCTGTCTGAAGATCAAAGTATGCCTTTCACTAATTGTATAACTTGCCACTCAGGGTATTAAAAAAACCTTTAGAGTAAATATGTGCAGGCCTGATTCAGACTAGGACCAGCACACATCAGGAGCAAAAGATGAAAACTTTCTCCTACTTGCTTCCCATACCCCTCAGATTAAAAAGGAAAACACTTTTCCCTTATACAAAACACACTGATGTTCAGGCTTGGGGACTCAATCTATTCAACAAGCCAGGATCCGAAACACAGTTTGATGGATTGCTCAAATAAATCACAGTCCAAGTTGAAATGTCACAGCAAACTGTGATCTGCTTCTGATATCCTCCTTGCAGTCTGGGAAACAAGAGGTGAAAGTCAAGGAAGCACATGAGCCCAGGGCTTTCCATGGTTTATTCACATAGCAGAAAACCATGGTTCCCATTATGAACCAAGCCACAGTTTGTGTATCTTGGTATTGCCAGAGACGATATACTTTCACACAGAGACATATTACCATAAAGATCAACAGTGCAATTCATTGCAGGACTCCAGGTCTGAGCCACAGCCGAAGCCAGGTGCCACAAAATTCTTTTGCTGTTGTCATTCGTGACACTTTTGCCACAAGTGGATCCCAAGGATTAAATTCTAACATAGATGTTCATTCCTGTAATCTAGAGAATTTAACTCATATGGAGGCTTGCTTCTTCTTCTAATCCATGTCTTTGGATTTTAGGAAGCAAACAGGGGAAAGGTTTAACCTCCTTCTCCCAGTATGTGCTGGTTCTGATCCAAGCTGAGGCCACACACACTTGCTCTGAAGTAAAACTGAAGTGTTGTGTTTCTGTAGCATATGCATAAAGCACGGGCCACATACGTATAGACCTGTGTATATGCCTGGGAATGCCAAATCTGTTACTATATAGGAATTAGTTGTGATTTATATCACCAGACCTCCATAAAATCCCTTGTACAAGAGCAGTATTGGAAGAGACAGACTGAAGTAGAAGGCAGAATTCAGGTTAGCCCCAGCATCCCAAATGAGACAGAATACCAATTAGGATTTCCCATTTTCAGGTATTTCTCACCCAACCCATCCCCATCAATTCTATAAATACATTCTATTTTAACCATGCTTTTCCTTTCCTCAGCAAGGAAACTGTATTATTTATTAAGAATTTGCAGTGGGGGGGGGGTTGAATGACATCAAAATTGGCTCTTTTTCAGTTCTGGGAAATAACTAGGCAGCTGAGAACAAAGGCTCGTTTAGTGTTCACTGGTCCTCACTGCAAAGATTTCAGTGCTGCCAAAAACTACACATTGGAAAGATCTGCTGTTTTACATTTTAAGACAAACCCTTTCCCCACATTTATTTCTATGCAGACGATAGGTTGAGTCAGAGGTTAATCAAACTGCAGCAAGAATGAGCATAAATACATAGACCAAGTTTCTAATCCCCAAGGAACACTTTATGCTGGCACAAATCCATTTCACGGAAGTTGCTTTCAGAAGCCTGTTGAGGCCTGGGCAATAAGTGTGGGATTTACTGGAGTTGGAGATCACCCACAGTTATTTACTGGCACCAAAAGAAAAAAAGGGCCAAAAAAAAAAAAAAAAGAGGCATCCTCACTGGCTGGGCCCCTGAGTTCACCATCGGGATGCTTCTGCCAGGTTGTGAGGGTTCTCCTTTGAGATGTGTGTGTATGAATGCATGTAGGGCGAGAGGCAAATTGGTGAAAATGGCATTCCTGTCAGATCCTCCACTTGGGCTTAATCCCATCCATGAATGGAGGGAGTGCTAGTAAGGACCCAAGCCAAAGCGCCTACATTAAAAATAAATAAAGTGGTCCCTTAAATTTCTGTGCCAAAATAGATCTTGTTTGTTTGAAACGGCATCCCTAATTTGAAGAGATGGGAAACTTACACACAGTAAATAAATTAATGATTTATGATAGTTCGCCTAAAAATACTCTACAAGGGCCTCAATATCAACGTGACATATGTTTTGGGGCACCAGTAGAACTGCAAGGGCACGCATTTCACAGTGGCCTGGCTCTAGATCTTATGCTTCTCTCATCCTAATTCATGCATGCCAAAGGGTTTCAAAATAGTTGCTCCTGCTCATATGCATCACATATCACAGGGACTGCATCCTCATTCCAGGTTCAATGATAGAAGAATGGACAGAAATAAAAATAAATGAGGCTATGCACATTAAGCCTTTTCTCTGGAATCATTATATTTTTAAAATTCTATTGATTACAAAGTAGGTCTGCAGAAGTTTGAAAGGTTTACTTAACCATAAACCAAACTTTTGAGTAGTCTAGTAATAAAGAAGCTCCTGCTGAACACCCACACTCCAGAGCAGATTCTACCAAAAGCCAACCAACCGGAGAGTTCCAAGGTCTTAGTGGTAACATCCATGTTAATTGGGAAGAAAGGAAAAGCCTCTTCTAACACATAAGCAATGCAATTATATGGCAAGTCAATCGCCTAAGCCAGCTAACGTGCTCTAGTGATATTTTGAAACTGTAATCTGATACTACTGTTTCCATCCTCGTGCCTTGCCTGCACTCCCTTGTTGCACACTGTACTATTTGAGGCCCAGAGGGCAAAGCGAGCGCTTGCTGTTTATTAATGATCAGACGTTACATGGCAAGGCTGGGGCAGGCAGAAGAGGAGGAGGAAAGGGAAGATTTGCTCCAGCACTCCCCACATAACTTTCTCCAGAGCTGGAAACCACAGACTACTGAAGCCCCAACATAAGCAGTGCCACTGCTCCTGGTCTCCCTGTTGTCCCAACAAGATTTTACTGATCTAAAGATGCATAAGCAAACACATGCACTCCGGAAAAGATCGGTCCAAGTAGGCCTTTAACTCCTGCAGCTTGCTAAGGTTTTGCAGAGACCGTAAGTTTCTTTTAAATTGAAGCCGTTTCCACCGCTGTCCATTCACTGGGGCAACCTTCTCTGGCCCCTAAGGAGGTTTGCTTAAT